TACGGTCCTGCGAGGTGAAGAAGTCATGGATGCGCACTGCTGATGAGTCCCATACCAGGACGAAACGGCCTTCCAGTGCTTTCAGGTTTCTAATGGTGGTCTAACAATGATTGATTGATGGTTTCAAATGTGTAAAAATAGTTTTTATAGTTGCCTTGATATTTAACAGAATAGATAGATTTATGCGAACTTAACTTAAAAGAAGTATGATCATTAAATAGGAATCCAAGTATCTCAAACCATTTGCTCATCCTGCCAAGATAGTATTAATGAAGGATATTGCCAACCTAGTAGTTTCTCAGATTTCCTCTTTTTCCAACATATTCACATAGGGTAACATGCTGCTGTTGTACTGTATTTTCAGCGTTAATTAGAAGGCAGGAGTTCTTTTCTTAGATAGTTTAACAAATATAAAATTAATCGCCTTTCGTTATTTAGATAAATACATGAATTGATAATATTGAACTCTTCACTGCTTAATATTTGATGTGTACTAGCTTGACTTTTCTCATCAGAAATCCCTGAGATATGTAGCTATGAAACACAGTCCACTGCTTTTCAGAAACACAGAAAGTATATTATGTAGAACGAAATCCACTAATCATATGCACTGAGGCACCCTCACGTTTCTTTTAAAATTGCAACTGACGTTATTTCGATTTTGGTCATTACATCATCTATACGAATTAACTTTTATATTTTCATTTGAATTTTAGGGAAAGCATGATCAATGTCAATAGTCCATCTGTTTCATCAACCGTCATATTTGTTGCTTTCAGTATCTTCATATCAGATATAGTGGTCTACTTTATTTATCTTCTCAATAAATAAATCTTTCTAACAGATTGGCGATTGTTCCAATGAATATTGATTTTTTCATGCATCCCTAATCACATTTAAGAGAATTAATTGTGTTTGTCGGAAAACATTGAGGAACCATTGTATGATACTCAGCTTACATAACTCTAAATCTGATGAATGACTGGTCTGTTGTTTGCCAAACTTTCTTTCTAACAGCTAAAAGAATTTACTGTTTAACTCATCATAAATTATGCTAAAATCTGATGATTAGTATTCTGACGATTGTTGTAAACTGTTGACATATAACAGATTCAATTTGATTTACAGAGTATGTATTATTGATTACTTATTGTATCCATTGACAAATGAATTGTTCTAATTTCATACTCATTTGAATAATTAACATAAAATGAACTTTTAATTAAAATATAAACAATGTAAAAGTTCTTTTTCTATCTGCCTGAACATACCTGTGTATCGGCATGTATTTTGTAATTATTTTTAGAATATATTGATCTGTGTGATTGATTTTTGTAGGGTTCGTCACTAGGTACACTTGAAGCGATTACGAGTTCACCATAGTCGATAAACGAGAACGAGACAACTGCCAGCCTCCAGATAGGCTACCTTGAATCCCAAGCTAAAGAGGCTTTGTAAGCGTAGAAAGTATATCCTACAAACACCCAGCCAGCACACAATACAATCAAGCACACAACTCTCGTTTATTTATACATCATAGAAACGTCGTTGGGACAGTCACAAAAATAGCACACTAAAATACACATCAGTCAATCACAGCCATGGATCTTCCTAGTGGGAAATGAGATCTCAAGGTCATCTGTCCAGCTCATGATCGCAAATGTGAAATCCAAATTAAGGCATTTATCAAGCGAGTTTTAGGGATCTAACATCCCCAACAATTTTCCCCTAACGACTGAACGCTTTAAATACGGTCAACATAGACAATGAGATCATATGTAATAATATTAACGTTGTTATTGAGTACTATAGAAGAAAATAATTTACTGGCAAACATACAAGTTGAAATCACAATATTTGATTGAATTGAACGTATATAGAATAGTTGTAAAATCCTAGATTCTAAAGAGGTTTATAATATTTTTTTGTGATTTGGGTACTTCATATTTCCGTGGCATTACATCATTCATTGAACTAGAAACAACTTTCAGTAATAATTTAAATCATGAAGTGATCAATGTTAAACCACCATTAGAAAACTGGAAGCACTGGACGGTAGTTTCCATCTGGTATGGAATACGAAGTGTTGAATTCGTTTATTTTTAGCACACCACAAAACGGAACAGCAGACCACAAGCATGCAGGGCAGGCACACCAGCGAGCGAATTGGTGAATGTACTAATGAATTAATAAGATTAAAATGTTCTTATATATACATAGGGAAATGTCTGAGTCATTGAGATATTTAAGAATAATATCAAATCGAATAGGATGAGTATGTGCGTAGGTGTAAGCAATACTCAAATGGACACACAAGGCTCTCAAACCTTCCAGAAGATCAAAGTCATGAGTGACTTATTCATACTCCCATTTTTCTGAATGTAAACTGACCTAAGAGCAGATCGTTCTTCCCGTACCTCAAGCCTTTTCTCTTGTGCTCAGGTTGCAGCGTATATTTAGTCTAGGGTTATTAATAGCTGATTGGATATCAGATATTGCGTTCATTTGGAAGGCTTACTATATTCAAATTCATGAAGAAATGATAAGGTAAAACATGGAGGAGCTTGAATTAAGTGGAACACATTCAGCAAAAGCTGAACAGAAAGGAGAAGCTACTGAAAATATCCTGCTTTATTTTGTCATCGTAAAGGGAAAAGTTCATAGATCCAGGATCAACGAATGCATCCTTCAAAGCGAAAGAGGGAGTTAAAATGAATATCATTCATCACTAAACACCAACACTTTCTTCGTCGTATAGTTGTAGACTGGATTATGGGGACCTCCAAATCTCATCTCATAGGAAGCATAGAATACAGTGGATAGCTTGGACGCAACTAGACGATCTGGACTTCACAGATGACTCGGCTCTTCGATCTCACAGCAAAAAATACAGCCAGTATGTCAGAAACACTAAAGCATTATTTCTAAAACGAAATAGCATCTGAAACTGAAAACACTTTTCGACTAGCTTCAAGTTTCGAAGTTTCAATACAAATGTAAAAAACCCTTTTATTGTATACAGCTAAACCTGGATAACTAGAAAAACTATTCAGATGAAACATTGTCTGCGCGAGATACTTCAGTGCTCTTTATCAGACACCATTAGCAACATGTTCTGTGGTAGAAAACAAAGCAGACTTCAGCTGAGAAGGAAATCAGGAAAAAGCTTTTGGTGTGGACACATATTATGGAAATAATCAGACTGCATCACGAAGCAAGCTCTAAGGCCAAAGAGGACATAAAAGATCAAAAGAACAGACTGCACCAATATTTGGCGGGTATTGTCAAGATTATGAACAGCGATTCGGGAGAGCTGGACAGGGTTGACTGGAAAATTTTGCTCTCCGGCCTGTGCTAAATTAAGAGTAACAGATATAAGTTAGAAATAATCCTTTTATATTGAAAACCGACTGTATTCCTGACTAATCCTCAGAGTGCTGTTGGCTGACCCTCTGCTTGGCATGGTCATGTTTGCTTATATCCGGAACCTTAACTACCTTCGGTTCCTTAGGTTCCCTCCTCTTCCTGATATCCATTAATGAACTTTTAGACAGAATTGGCCCGGCTGTATTGATTTATACGGACGATGAAATATCTTAAAGCCCACAAGAAGTCAGGAGGGGTAAAATAGCTTCAACAGGACCTTATATCTATTGACGAATGGGCAGTGAAAAACTAGTTAAAACTAGGCCGGTCGTAATATCAAGTTATGAACATCCTGGCCCACGTGACGCAAACAACTTACAACCCAAATGGAGGTCTGCCCCGAATGACTCCTCAGAGAGTGATCTCGATCTGATAACTGAAGAAACCCTAAACAGCAGTTCGATCTACATAGGGGACACAGCCAAGGCTAACACAACTCTTCACTCTATGAGGAGACATTTTGGTACTATCACTTCAGAATCATTCCCAACATTGTCTACGGTATACACATGCTCACCCCTCGAGATTCATAACGTCGTCGCACCAGCTCTTCTTAAAAGATACATAAGTCTTTTGGATCGAGTGCAAAGAGGAGAAACTAACTAGGTGATGGGGTTAAAGAATATAACTTGTGGAGATAGGCTCCAGAAATTACAGTCATTCTCTTATAGAGATTCGTACGATATAATTCTTCGCGGGATAACAAATGATAATCCCGGAACTCTGAGAATCAAACAAGAAGGAGATTCTAGAGGAAGAAGTATATTTGATATCAAAATGATATCGAGGCAAGAGGGCGCATAAACAGCTAAGGTCCATGTAGGAGACGCACGAAAATGAGGATGTGAATAACACGCTTGGCGCGCGAGAGATAGTCTTCAGTACAGGTAAACAAGGGGTGTACACTATAACAAGTATTGTCAGAATTAAGTACAATAATTAATGTGTATATTTCAGCAATAGTGCATTCTTCGTAAAAATAAACCACTACAAATCATAGACAGGGATGAAGGTCGGATCCAGAAAAGGGAATATATTTGCAGGTGAAAAATACCGAGATCATGCCAAGGGACGTAGGCGAAGCTACAGCGAGCAGGGTAACTAAAATAGATGCGACAATAACGAAAAGCATATACAGAGTACGAAGAAATAAAGAGTACAGTGAAACAGTCGCTGGTACAATTGGTCATTATAATAAATGTTTCTATTAAACGAATCGCGAACTCTCCATGTAAGTGGGGTCACTACGCATGTGCCAAAACTTGCTATTTATTATTACTGCCATCTCTTCAGGCCACTAATCTATCTAGCTCATTATATATGTCTACTTTCCCTTGCTCACACTTCGGTTCTCTTGCATAATCTTGAATGCCAACTGATAAAATAAATCACCCATTTACTCACATAGTTCTGAAATCTTATTCAAACTAGCGTTAGGATTGATTATTATCCTCCACATTGAAACTAACTAATCTGCGGCCTGGTAACGTGATAACTGCTGGTTTTTAGAAACCCCAGTTCGTGTAAAAATTATTGGGTATTGGATGTTGGATATTGAAGGCGAGTTTTCAAGTGTCTACGTTACCGTTCGTTTCATCATAATTAATTTAGATCACTAGTACTCAGCTAGTATATGTGTAGAGTTATCTTTCAGTTAACTATTTGACTCAATAACTCGTATACATAAAAGTATGGTGGTTTACTTCAAAGACATGATTTTAAATCAGTATTATATGAAAGAATTATCTCTGATTTCATTAGCAATATCACACAAATTAAGACTTTTGTAAAAGCTTTGAGAAGTTTGATACAATAATTCGACTTGTGATTTGTACTGACCTTTAATATAAAACGCTAGGGTATAGTTATAGAGCACGTGGATACTACAAACGCATGTTCTCGACCCAGTTTGTTATAAAACTCAGTAAAAATAGGTTTAAACACTTGTTCTCTGCTTTTTACGAAGAGATTGACTATTCGATAGTCTATTCGGTTTGTCATATATGTGAATCGACCTATGAGCACCTTTAGCTTGCCCATCACAGTATAAGTATTTTTGCCTATTCGCGATCTTACATTGTCCAAAAGGAGAAACCTCACATATTCTTGACAGTCAGTTGTGCAATTATAATAACATATGAAAGAGGTAAAAATATTTTAAATGAATAGTATCTTCCCTCTCATTGAGACCCAGTTTACCTCAGTCACCTGAAGATTATCAAGCATAAAATAAGTAATAAAATATAAAAATTCGCACAGAAACTATCTGTTCCGCATTGCAAAGCAACATGACAAATAAGTCGAAACCGGTGTTCCTGAATTCGAACAGAACCAAGTGGACCTCAATACTCCACATGTGTTCATTATCGTTCATCTCATAGAATGTATATATGGCTTCAAAACGCATACAAATCAAATTCTTCGGTATTTTTCGCACTTTGAGGACTTTATTATGTCTATCGTTTTCACCTAGTTCTATTTTTTCCTAGTAATCCTGTTACTTTTAAACATCGATAAACATTTCTTAACTGGTTTAGTTCTTGGCCATACACTAATGATTGACAACAAATCGCAGTAAAGTAATGGATTCTATTCGAGTCATTCCTTTGGGTAAATTTGTCTCCATATGATTCACATTACTCAATTTGCTTGACAGGTGCTGGGCAGGATGTAGGCAGAAGTTGCATTCTTGTCACGCTCGGTGGTAAAAATATCATGTTTGATTGTGGAATGCACATGGGTTATAATGATGACGTAAGTTCACGTTGTTGTAGTCACCAGTCATTAAATCATTTCAGAGAAAATTCCCTGACTTCACTTACATTACTGATAAGGGGGGTCTGAATGAGTACTTGGATTGTGTAATTATTAGGTATGTTTATTTAGTTTGTATTTTCATATTCCTGTTGGCAGCCATTTCCATCTTGATCACTGTGGTGCTCTTCCTTATATGACCGAAGTAATAGGCTACGATGGTCCAATCTATATGACTCATCCTACCAAAGCAATTTGCCCAATACTTTTGGTAAGTACTTTCCTTATCTGATCCTTATATTTGTAGGAAGATTATCGTAAAATCAACGTCGAGCGGAGAGGAGATCAAAATTTTTTCACTTCTGATATGATATATCGGTGTATGACGAAAGTTAGGTGCGTATATATACATCAAACAGTCAAAGTAACTGCATCAATTTTTAATCTTGAGTTCTGTAAAAGGTAGATGATGAACTTGAAATACAGGCATTTTATGCTGGTCACGTTCTGGGAGCAGCAATGTTTCTTGTACGTGTAGGAACAAAATCGGTCCTGTATACTGTAGGTTACTTTTCAAAGATATCACTGAAGTTTCATAGGGGGATTATAACATGACACCCGACAGGCATCTTGGGGCAGCTTGGGTTTCTCGTTGCCGTCCAGATCTTCTCATTACTGAAAGCACTTACGCAACGACAATACGAGATTCAAAACGTACAAGAGAACGGGAATTTCTGGAAAAGATTCATGCTCGCGTTGAGGCCGGGGGAAAAGTAATCGCTTCATTATTTGCCACATCAATAGGTCTTAATTCCTGTCTTTGCCTTAGGTCGAGCTCAAGAACTTTGTATATTGCTAGAAACATATTGGGAAAGAATGAATATTTCCGTTCCAATATACTTCTCCATGGGAATGGCAGAAAAAGTAGTTTCATGAAATTTTAGCAGCTTAATTACCGTTCATTTAGGCTAATGAATATTACAAGTTGTTTATCTCATGGACAAATCAAAAAATCAAGGAGACATTTGTAAAGCGAAATATGTTTGATTTTAAACATATAAAGGTAGGTACATTTTACTTAGTTCCCCACCCAAATGCGTTTTAAAAGTATTTAACGGTTTAACAGCATCACATCCTTCTACTAAACATCTACTTCAGACATGCACTCTTTGTAAACGTTAACCTGTTTCATTCAAAACCAGTTTTTCTGTTACTTTCACAAAAAGTCACTAGTCATCATACCGGACTCACATGTCTTTATTAGTTCCTTCGGATCATTGCTTAAGTATAGTGACCCCATCTACTGGATACTGTATAGTTATTGTCTGAGCAAGAAGATTACCTTAGTCGTGAATATACATTTACTTGTCTATTCTTTCTATTACTCTGAGATTTGTTACGATGATTTCATCTTGGTGTGTCAGTATGTCGTGACAGCTAAAATTGGTGTACATATATATGTTTCTACGTTACTTATGAAACACTGACCGATTCATCCTTTCCCTACTTTAACCCCCGACCGTAGCTGCTACCTTGACGTGGTGGTCGGGCTTGCCTATCGTGATGACCCAACCGAGCTATACTGGCTGGAACATATGTTCCTCAAGGTTCTACCATGCCAGAGAGGTCGATTGGAGAACGATGAGACTAAAAGCAGCTACCCAAGGTCTGAGGGCGAAGTCGTATTGCTGACTTCAGAGGGGTGTGACAGCAGTAAGGTGTTTCCCTCGGACAACCAGCATCTGCAGCGATGCTGCCTTCTCACAATGAAGGAAGGGTTAGAAAAGGTCGGCCCTAAAAATGTCACACCTCCCCTAACTCACGGATTTCCGTCTCCGGTGGTAAGGGTGCCCACTAAGGTCCTTTAAGAACGGAGCTAATCCTCTAAATACCTTTCATAAAAAGGCCGTGCGTGACCGGCCTCAAGCAGTTGTCCCTTGGGCTCTGCGGTCACGCACCAACACTAATCCATCTTCCTTTTCAGGTTCCTCAAGAAACAACCTTCCACGGTGTGGGCAGCCGGGAAGTGACAACCGCCCTCATACCCATAACAGCACGCGAGACCAAACTGACTGACTGACTGACTACTTTAACCACACTTTGTTGGATAAAGTGGGAATAGTCTAAGTAATATCATTGATATCTATACCAAGTACCAACCCATTAAGTCGAAATTTACTGGTGTCTGTTGGGCATAGAATTATAAACCTTATGATTAAAGTTATAGAAGGGTTAGAAACTATTTGTAATACACTTTGATGGACTTAAAAATGACGCGGACTTGTTTAGTTTGTATATCCTCGTGAATGCTGAAAATTTTGCTGTTGCTTGTTCACTCAATAGTTTGTTGGTTCTTATTGAGTGCTATCGGATCCACTTTATCAATATCAATTCTCCTTTGTTTCGTCTTTCTGCATCAACCAATCTGTTTCGAATTGAAGTTTTAAAACAGAAGGAAAATATATTGAACAGCAACTTACACTGATCTTTCTTTAGACATTAGTATTTCCACTAAGTGATAACTGCCTCATGTTCAACGAGTATCATTTCAAATTAGAGCTTAGCATTTCTTAATGTTGATTGGCAGGATCGAACTGATCATGCATTATTCATACATCACAACTGTCAGGTGAAAACCTCATTGCTAAATTTTGATCTCTCGAATTTAGGCATTTTAATATAAATTAGTTAGTTTAAATCAGTCTGACATTATTGGTTCATCTCAATACTTAATCCACCTTGTCCACCCCTATTCCATGTCATTCAGCTCTGTCATCTATTAGTTTATAAAATTAGTATAGGTAACATTAGTCCAACTGACTGACACACTTCTATCCTGTCTCATTTTTTTAAATAAGAATGTACATCTTGATCTGTATCATAATTGTTTTCCAATTATGAGTGTCACTGAAGTGACTTTAAGTCTTGGTTCATTTTGATGTTTTCATATGCCAAAATAGCCTCTTGGACAAGGAACCGTTGATAATCCAGGGCCGATGGTAGTCTTCGCCACACCAGGTATGCTTCACGCTGGACAATCTTTGCATATATTTCGTAAATGGGCTTCAGATGAACGAAATATGGTTGTTATTCCAGGATATTGTGTTGCTGGGACTGTAGGTTACAAGGTTTGTGTTTTTCCTGTGTAATATTCTTGTTCAAGTTTACTATAAAGTAATACCTATTCTTAAGCAGATTAAGATAATATTGTCAATATCAATTAAATTTCTTTTTATTGAAGGGATTCCTGTCATCTGTAAACAGTTGTATGTGGCAATAAATAACAGAATTTAAGACAAACTAGTGGCTTATTTGAACTGGTGAAGCACATGCATCAAAGTTTAAATGTACAGGATCAAGTTATGATTTAGAATGCAGTGTAATTTATAATTCATAGCGGAAAATCAAGTACCTCTGCTTACAAAGTTAAAATAGGTTTTGATAGTACTGAGAAGATTGAGGCAGCCGAGGAAGATTGTATTATGCAAATTTACACTCTGAGTTAGTTAAAAACAAAAAAATTACATTGAATACTCTATTTGCACACCATCTTTGAGTCGTGACTTCCAACGCTCCATCCTTCTTCCATTCCTGTTGTTACTTGCTTTCCTTCCTGTTGGTACTCCATTTACTTCTTGTTTTTGCTCTATTTGCTTTCCGTTTTCCTCTTCTAACTGTGAGACTTCTTCTTTCACGTCCCTTCTTATACTACTTATATCGTTCGTATAAGTAGCACGCACCACAGTACTATTCGTTATTTACTGATTCTTTACAGAAACTTACTGTTATCACGTCATATGTCATCTTGTTGTTTTTCAGATTTTAAATGGAGTAAGACGTCTTGAATTTGATAAACAAGTGTTGGAAGTGAAAATGTCCGTTGAATACTTATCATTCTCAGCTCATGCAGATGCTCGTGGTATTATGCAATTAATATCTCATTGTCAACCTAAACATGTAATGCTAGTACATGGAGAAGCAATCAAAATGGATTTTTTAAAATCTAAAATTGAACAAGAATTTGGATTACCTTGTTCAAAACCTGCAAACGGAGAGATTCTATATGTAAAAACAGAACAACGCTTTATTGTTGAAGCTTCAAGAGAATTTCTTCATCAATCGTATTGTAGGTTTTCACAGTAGAATTTCATATCATTTATAATTTTCACTAAGATATGCAAAGTATACTAACTAGTTATCGCTATTTTTATATTTCTACACAAAGTTTCTAACGATCTCATTGATTATCTGTAAATTTATAACAAAGTACAGATTCCCCATATAGATAATATGATGTATTTTAAGAACCGTTTATCTTTTTCTCGATATCTTCAAATTTGATTTGCCTAGTTTCTAATATAATGTAGGTATATGGCTTGTAGAGTTTCATAGCCGTGATTGCTTTACGAAAATTCTCTATCCTCACATAATTTCGGAAAGAATTAGTAGTTCCTTTGATGAATGTCACCAATACAATTTAATTATCCCTATCTAAGTATCTAACTGAAATTTTTGTTTCACATATAAAGCTGTAGATAAAATAGTTCTACAGCGAATTGCCTTAATACTTGATTCCATTAGATAAATGTTAGAGTAATATTGTAGACAGATATTATTGGTTTGGTTTGCCTCAAAATAATAAGACCTTAATTCTAGTATTAATTCTTATCAAAAGATTTTCCATGGTTACTTTTATTTTCCAGATTCAGATGATCCAAATGAACCACTAATTAAACGTTCTCGATCTATTCAAGGTGGAATTCAAATTGAACCTGATGTAAGTTCGGTTTTTTTTACCTAAAATGACTAGCATATGATTGTCGGAAAATAATTCAAAAAAATCTACTATTTGCTACTTTACTACTAATAAGTAGGCAAATAAGATTGACAAAATATTATAACAATCATTTGAGCAGCCATCCAGAACTTTCTGTTATCGAATTTCACGATTTCAGTCACATTTGGTCAGTGTATTTACTTTTATTTAGTAAGTTGATATTCGAAAATTCCAGAAGCATATTTTTTCCGTTCTACATTTTTTGAATAGCTAGGATGATGTACTAGATTAGGTTCTTAGCTTTTTAAACGTTATTATGTATGTGAACAAAATTGCTAGACGCTTATACATTTATATGTATTGAGTCCAGCGCTTATTACTCTCCACATATCAGTGACTACAATGTATAATTAATACTGTATGTACTATGACTTAAATCCTCCATTACCTCTATCGGATTGTGAATAGCCGTCGTATATCCTGGGACCATTGAGTAAGCAATGCTACGGTTAGGTAACGGGTACTAGGTAAGGATGACAGATCAATAGATGAAGTATTGAAACTTAATCAGTTGAGGTGATTGAGACATGTGTTACGTATGCACAACCACCGACTGCCATGACGAGCAATGTTGTCTAAAGTAGGAGTGTAGGCTGGAAGGAAGTTAAGAGCGGCCAAACCAAAACATGGCACAAGTCCTTGAAGTCACTGACAAGTGGACTGAGCCATGTTGGTAGGTGCAGATTACCTTGCTGGGTTCGGCGAGACGATAGTAACCGATGGTTAGAGATTTTGATTGATATGGCTCAAAATCGTTTGTAATGGTGCAGATGTATCCACTCTTTGTCTTCTCTCAAATTCTAATCTGAATTTCTCATGACCCTTATCTTTCTCTTCTCAAATCTACTTCACTGGATCTTCTCCACTACTGCTCATACTTCTCCTACCTCTGCCATTATGGGATTTGAATTGACAATTCCATCTCTCTGTGCTAATGTTAGTGTAGTATTGACAACCGATTTACGTAGGTACTAAGTTCTACCTTGTAGCTGACTGAATGGACTGACAGTTACATTAATTACAGTTTGATATTATTTTAGTGATTAGACGGCTAATTTCATTTTTATCGCTTTTTTTTATTGGTTTGTTCTTTCAGGCAACCCCTAAACTACTTGATCGTGCTTCAGTTTTGGCTTCTCTAAGTTTGAAAGAACATGTAATGAGGTTTACTTCAACGTATGCATTTTCTTCCTCTTCGAATCTCACCACCATTTTGGATAAATTTATCAAATTATGTTCAAAGTAAGCAGTTTCTTTCTATGTGATATTTTAAAAATTCATAAGTACCATGCGAATTCATGTATAGTCTATGTGTAATGAGATCATTTTATTATTATGATTTCTATTGGGAAATATCAATATTGAATCATATGAACGCTGTTGAAACAATTTAAACTTTTTTCTCCTTTAAGTTCCATGAATCATCATTGACTGTTAAAGTGATCGTTGTAGGCAGGTTCAGATTACGTATTTGTGATCTGCACAATTATCATAACCAATAGTTAGAGACTTTGGGTGATATGGCTCAGAATCAATCGCAAAGGCATAGATTCATTTATTTTTTATCTTCCTTTAGATCTTAAGTTTCATAATTATCTTATAACAGTTTTATCCCACGAGTCTATATTTTCTTCTGAAATCATTTGCTTAATAAGTAGTGTTTTCTAATACTAGTAATACTGTTACTACCTATATTACTCAAGTATCTGACTGTGTTAATATGGTGTGGCAACTTGGACTCATTTATCTATGCTTAACAACGTATTTTCAATTCAACAACAGAGTCTATGAAAAAACAAAAAGAACATCAATGGGATCTGGACTCGTCGCGGAAGCTGTAATGCATCGGTTTTACCAATGATCAAGCCAAAAAATGTGGGTTCGCAACGTTGACGACACATTCGTCATTATCAAAAGAGACGAGCTGTAGAACATCTACAATCGAATCAACAACGTCTTCGATGACATCAAATCCACGATGGAAGAGCAATCAAACAATAGTTTATCATTCCTGGATGTACTAATCACCAGAACTAATACAGGAAAACTGGAAACTTAAGTATTTCGGAAGCAACTACACACAGACCTAATTTTCAACTATGATAGAAACGACCCAAGAACCTACAAAATCAACTGCATACAAACTTTGTTCAAGAGAGCGAAGACACAATTCAGCACATACGAAGCACTAAAAAACGAGGAAAAACACCTGGTGACTATCTTCCAAAAGAACGGCTATCCACGCAACTTCATCAAAAAACATCAACCGAAATCGTCAGCAGAAGCGAAATCAAGTACAAGAACCAAAAACGGATCATCCTACCATACATAAAATACATATCAGAGCATACAGCATGACTGGACACAAACCAACAGAATCACTTCAATCAATCCTATGTAAACCAAAGGACAAAACGACATAAAGAACAGTAGAGAATTAAAAGTAGCTTCGCCCTCAGGTCAGTCAGCAGTTAACAAACACATAGATATTGACCCAATTTATCAACCAATCAGAGAGATTATTGACAAGCGTAGGATCAAGAGACAGATCAAAGAGGGTATACAATCAAAAAAAAGGTGCGAACAACGACAGGTTTAAGGTCAGCAGCAACCAATCAAGATCGAGGTTAACAGAACAAGCTACAGGTCAAACGTGGAGAAATTCGAATGTTTCGCTTCTATCTGAAGTTTGTACTGATGATGTTGTTCAGCGGAAGAACAATGAAACCTCCACAACCGAAATATCGAGCTCAGAGAACGAAACACCACCACAATCATCCACCTGATTTTCTCCATCATCTCACTAATGCATATACACACCAGGTTCTACCTTATGTATGACAGACATCTTTCAGATTTGTCACAAATTACGATTTGAAAAAAAAGTATAGATCCATTTCATTGGTGTATAATAAGCCTAATCTGATGTGTGTGTGTGTGTTTCTTAATCTGAAGTAATCGTTTTACTTCTGTAGTTTGTCAACTTATATACAAATTGAATAATAATAATTCTCTTCAACTATTTACAATTTAGAAATATTAGTATAAATTACTTAGAAAACAATCTCATAATTTGAAAAAAAGAGAAGTTATTCAACTTTACAGTGTTGTTGGGGACGTTAGATCCCCAGAACTCACTTGATTAAGGTCGTAAATTTGGATTTTGTGGTTTCGTGCAGAAGCTGCTTAGTCGACCTTGAGATTACATTTCCCATTCGGGAAATCCTTGACTGTCACTGGTTGATGTGTTATTTTAGTACACTATTTTTGTGGCTCTCCCAAGGACGTTTCTATCATGTATAAAGAAACTCGATTTGTATGCTTGTCGACCTCATATTTTCTGGTTGCTTGTAGAATACACTTTAAACGTCTTGTCAAGACTTCTTCCTCTACTTAGTGGGGCCTTGGGACGCTCGGATTATATGTCTTTGCTCTCGTTTACCGACTAAGGTGAACTCGTAATAGTTTCAAGCATATCAATTGACGACTATATCAAATATAGATGTAGAATAATATTAGACAATAATCGTGAAACAGTGATACCATGATGAATAAATAATCAGTTATTTGACTTAATAAAGACTAAACTATCTGTCAACTTAGATTATTTACTGTCTAACTGTTGGGGATGTTAGATCCCCAGAACTCGCTTGATAAATGACTTATTTTGGATTTCACGTTTGCGAGCATTAGCTGATCAGTTGACCTTGAGATCGCATTTCCCACCAGGAAAATCATTGGCTGTGATTGGCTGCTGTGTATTTTAGTGTGCTATTTTCGTAACTGTCCCAACGACGTTTCTATGATGTATAAATAAACGAGAGTTGTGTGTTTGATTGTATTGTGTGCTGGCTGGGTGTTTGTAGAATATACTTTATACGCTTACAAAGCCTTCTATCTTTAGTTTGGGATTCAAGGTAGCCTATCTGGACGCTGGTTCATTGTCTCGTTCTCGTTTATCGACTAAGGTGAACTCGTAATAGCTTCAAGCGTACCTAGTGACGAATCCTACAGTAACACAAAATAGCAACAACAACACCAACTGAGTTGTCTTTAATCATATCAAAATACACATCCAAACATTACACAACAAATGATTGAACACGGAATTGAAACGTTCATCTTCAGATGGGAGAAATCAACTTTCACAAGTATAAAGAATAACCGCTGACATATATGAGTAAAATAAGTTTTGAAAATGAATCTAACCCTAAAAAGGAATTGAAAATAAGTTCACATAATTTGTGTGATTTAATTGTTTAGAAAATATTCAAATGTCGTTATATCATGTTATTGATCTGAAATTTGAATTAACTTGTGCCAGATTTTGTTACAGAATACCGTTATTCAAATATCGATTCAATTGTTCACAAGTAAAAGTATAAACTTACAAAAAATTGATCCAGTTATCTTTTTTCTTTGGTCTTAAAAAAAAACAAACGTCCTGTCGGGCGCTATCCTAATACACACTTATTTTACGTAACGAATATTTTGTCAGTCTTGAGTAACTCTACTAGCTGAGCTATATATAATGATAACATGAATTATTGTGCTGATGCTGGTGGTGTTTGGTTCTCTGAGCTGGATGTTGTTTTGTCTGTGGAGCTTTCATTGTTCTTCTTCTGAACAACATTATCATCAGCACAAACTTCAGATAGCAGAAATGAAGTATTCGAATTTCTCCACATTTGACCTGTAACTTGTTCTGCTAACCTCGATCTTGATTGGCTGCTGTTATTGACCTTAAACTTGTCGTTGTTTGCACCTTTGTTTTGATTGTATCCCCCTTTTGATCTGTTTCTTGCTTCTATGTTGCCTATGATTTTACTGATTGATTGATAAATTGGGTCAATGTCGATGTGTTTGTTGATTGCTGATTGACCTGAGTGCCAAGCTACTATTAATTCTCTAGTGTTCCTTATGTTCCCCCTACCCAGTATTTCCACATTGCCCCAGTCGAATGTATGTCCATAATTGTCCGTGTGTATTGATGTAAGCGAAGCGTTGTCGTGGCGTTTGACTGCTACTTGGCGTTCACGTAAACGAAGCTGAAGAGGCCGTCCACTTTGTCCTATGTAGTGTTTTTCACAGTCTGAGCAATTTATTAATAAAAGCTCCACAACTAAAAGATCCAGCTCAGAGAACCAAACACCACCACCACCACCACAATCATCCACCTGAGCTACAAATCTTCTCCATCATCTCAAACATGAATTATTATTATTATTTATAAACCATACGAATAAGAATAAAATATGAATTTCAATATTAACATTTAGTACACATAAAAATCATGCTTAAACTTTTTTCATCAATTAAAAATAATAAGAATTATGATTATTATCATATCAAGTATACATGAGATTAATACCCCTGAGTGGTTAAGGCACTCAGCTGTCAGTTAGTCCGATCTCATACTAGATACACCCCTCCTTTGGTTTCCGTTTGAATACCAGTGTAACTTCAGCTTTTGGTTGGTTTGCCTTTAGCTAGGAGGTACCTCGTGTGTTGGGCGCTGTGTGAAGCTCAGCCTGTGAGATTCTCTGAAAGTAGAAAGAACAAGAGAAAAAGATGTTCAGACGACTCAGTAAGCACATAAAATGATGCACTCACTTGCAATAGAAGAATAAATAGACAATAACAAGAAATAAAACCAGTTTGAGATCAAGACAAACTACTAAATGAAACGAAGAGTTGATAGGGCGATAAGGTTTCGAATGTATTACACCAGAGTTTGTACATCACCAAATAATATGATGGCTCATAGGCTGTTTGATTAATCATAACTTTCTTAAATGATCATTTGTGTCCTATTTGACAATATGAATGATTTTGTTGTATTAGATAAATTTAAATAATAATCTTCATTTGTACTATTATTATTACTATTATTATTATTATTATTATTATTATTATTATTAATATTCGTATCACAATGATTGTCAATGTTTATTTAAAATTCAATTCCTTAAAATCTTAATCGTATGTTTAAATCGTGAAAAATTCATTTGAAGGTTATCAATGATAATAATCCATTTTTAATCATTCCTTTCAAACTCTCTTGCATACATACGTGGACGCTCACGCACACACACACACAAACACACATACTTGGGTACAATCTTTTCAAATAGTGAAATGACTTTATAAACATGATAACTATTATTATTATTATTATTAGTAGTAGTAGTAGTAGTGTGGTGAGAGCTACTTATAAGTAGTATATGACGTGAGTGTCAACG